ATTAACAACAACTATAAGATGTGGAGCGTCGCAACATTCCATCATTTTTTAGTGCTTTCAGTAATCCGTTCAGCTTGCTCAGGACAAGCCGTGAGATTGTTTGGACCCGTATCCAGTCTCAAACTTTTTAGGTTAGATCTTTTGATTGTTTGACTTTGTGTAAGGGCACGTGCAAAACAGAGACTAAACGACTTCTTTGATCCCCACCTCTTCAGACAAATTTGAACAAGATTGAAGTATAACATTCAATTTCGGTAACAGCATTGATAATAATGGAAACGATGTGGTTCAATTCGACTTTTTTCTACATTAGCCATAATAATCTCTCTGTAGAATTGTTCGCAGAAGTTGAACGTGTGGTTCAAGGATATTTCAGAGGTTCTCGGTATCTTTTGTCAAACCACGGCACTGCTAAGGCACTCTCTTAAACAGCAATGTTATCTCGCTGAACTTTGAATGGCCAAATGGGAATCACATCTTGTGTGGCACTAGCAATGATCCCGTTGAAGTGGCACTCCAATGAGCACATCAGTTCACGCGTGGTGTGGTACACACAATTCGGCTCTTACAGAAGCCAGGGGAGGCGACTCAAATCATAACACCAGGGAGTCCTCCCCTCCCAAATAAAAAAGGGTGACTCCGTTCCAAAGTCGCGCAAATATTTTGTTAGGCCACCGATAGTGTTTACATTAAACCTTCTTCCATCCAAAAAGCCACCTACACCGCTGTACCGTTTTGTATTACTACACAAAGAAAACATCTCTGCAAATCACCTGGACATTTTAGTAGGCTCAGCCAATGCACGCCTTGACAAAAGAACTCCGGCGCTCCTTGTGCATACATGGTACATATGGCGTAATAAAAAACAGTCTTTGCACGATGTCGGGGAATGACTCAAGGATACGGCGAATAGCATTTCTCCTCACAATAATTTCAACTTCCCTGCTTACAAGGAGGGTCTTTCAGGACTTGAAGCGTTTTTCGAAAATGGTTTCCTGAATGTTGTAGAGGCTCTCCTGAACGTTCTAAAGAATGTCGAAACAGCGGGGAAGGAATGGTCCAAAGTTCGGTTCTTCATGATGACAAATTTTGCATTTGTATGTCGGCGCCTTCAAATTGCCGCAGGACATATTTTGCTATTCCAAAGTTGCTGTGCATTTTTGGAAAATGCCGCTATTACCAATAGTTTCCCCATAACGAAAAACCTTGATACTTGATTTCTGGAGAAATCTCGATTCAGAATTATTAAAATATCTTCCTTAGAACGTATTTTCACCGTTTCGCAAATATGACTACACATCACTTGTCGAGAGATTTAACTATAACGAAAAAACGTCACGAATTTTCAACAATGGGATCACCCCCCAATAATCATTTAGGAACACAATAATACGTTTTGAAATGCTGGTAGCCAAATTAGCTATTACAGTAGGATCGAAATTCGTCTGGGCGCCGATGATCGACCTTTTCAGCTTTTCGGCTGTTCCATTTTGCTTTACTTTGCTGTGGAACTTTATAACAATTAAGGCCCAATGATTCTCTATTGGAATCTAATTCAGATAACATGGTGGCCACCAGATAACTGCCACATTTTTTCCTGCAACCAGATTAGTCCCCCGTCAACCGCCGGGACCTTCCTTTCCTGCGCAAGCTTTCTATCCTCCGCTATGGTCCCTTCCTCCTGTGACACCAACACCTCCTGGAAGTGACGCGTATGCAACACAATGGTGTTTCATACAGTAGAAGGGACACAATCATGATATGACGGTAGATTTTTCGCTTCCCTTCCTCATCCTCCCTTCCTCTCTCCACTGCCCTCCAGCTGCCACTGCAGCACCATGTGGAATGAACGGAAGTGTGCTAAGCAGGTGTTTATATAGCCCTAAGAGTGTTATCACAACTATCCTGCTACAAAACATTGATATCTCAAATCCTGTAAGCTACCCGATTTGTTAGCGGTTTGTTTATCCCATGAGCTTCCTTCTCACTCACTTCATTTTGCGGACGGACACACATACATACATACATACATACATACATACATACATACACACGCACACACATACAGACATACAAACCGACACACAAAGTTAGCGCTTATATAATGGAAGGATTCCATCTGGCGCGGAGGGACCGGCATGGACAGCCGCGTTATCGTGTGTGAAAATCAAGGATAGAGGGGATCCTTGTTGAAAAAATGGTAAGACTCGCTTCGAAAGAACTTCACGATACCCTGTGGAATCTTTGTGAACGGAAACAAAAGCGAGCTCTAGCTACTCAGTCGTTCAAAGGTGCCTCAAACCATAAGGGATTCACCGCCGAAATTACGTTACATTGAAACCATCTGCGATTTTCACGCGATCATCCTGTACCCTCTTTTTCTGCCATATCCACCTAGAATAAACTTTTCCACGTCGATCTCAGACCACCTGTAGAACGAAACAAGGAGGTAGAGTCCAAGATCGCGAAGGGTCTTAACAGCCACACCATCGCTCATTAAGTTGAGCCCTTTTCCACGGAGAAATGGAGACTTGCGATCTTGTAGCGCTCAAATAATCTTGGAACGCTCTTCATCAATCCGCTGAAGATGTTATTGCTCTGCTGGCTTACTCACCACACGGTGGTTTTGCTCACGGAAGGCCGCATTTCAGTACGGACTTTGTTCGGACTCCTTGTATAATTCGAGAGAAGACACCCAATTCCTCCTAAATTTTGAAGGAAACGCAGTCTTTATTTACCTAAGCGACTCTTCTCTCCGCACTGACCAGGATTTTGCACATAGTCGCTTATGCAGTATGAGCCGGCCGACATGGGAGGAAATTCTGCTCCTCAGCTATCCCACTTCAGTAAGTGCTCTAGCTTGAGCTTGTTACTGGGAAGAGAGGCGAATAACACGAGGTATGGTAAACTCGATGTCGACTGAGCCCACATATTTCCCCGCTTCCCTGATTCCCTTCACGGATCGTGAGAAATGGAAACTTTTTATGAGTGGCCCGATATTCATGAAACGGTGAAAATTCGTTCTAAAAAAGTTAATTGGGTTACTTGAGGGGGAATTTGTCAGAAAAACACTATGAAGGTTTTCCGTGATGAGGAATCTAACGGTGATAGCAGCATTTCCAAAAAATGCACAGCAACTTTGGGGTAGCAAAAATTTAGGGTGGACCTATAATTATGAAACGCAGTGTATTCTGACAGTGACGCCATTTGGCGGCAATCTGGGGCGCCAAACTATATTGCAAAAATTAGTCATCACCGGGGATCGAACTCTGGACCATTTCTTCACCACTGTTTTGACATTCCTGGAGGCGTTCAGGAAAAATGGATCATGGTTCTGTGTTCCTCGCATGAGCCCCTACAACATGCAGAAAACCATTTCGAAAAAGCGCTCCATGTCCTGAAAGACCCTCCCCTTGTTAGCCCTTGCATACCCCTCGCAGGGTTGATCGTTATGAATTCTACGCCTGTGCTTCTCAGTACCCTCTCTCGGATATTCTGGTTCGCTTTTCCGTGCCGTAAGACTTCACATTGTGGCAGAAGTTTCTAATCAAGCTGAGTGATGAACGCTCCCCCACTTCATTTGATACGCTGCGATTACCGACTGCCATGTTCTTAAGAACCTGGTTCAGACTTTTCTGTGTTTCGTCCGGCATGACACTACATCCATTACAGTAAAGGAAAGCAATATCAAGTCATATTTGTAACATATTCTTATAGAGAGACAGAGATAAAGAACCATGCGAATCTATACTGTTGAAACGCCATGTTTCTTGGGAAAAATTAGGTAAAACTCTGGGTTCCTTTGGCTCTGCTCAAATTAGATCAACTGAGCCCCATTAACGTATCGTTGGTGTAGATTTGAGCGGAATTTGCTCTATCAGAGAACGAAGCGGAATAAACCATACTCGCACGACACATTTTAGCAGCACCTGTTGTTGTAGTGGTCGTTGGTGTTGTTGTTGTTGTTGTTGTCGTCGTCGTTGGTGGTGGTGGCGGTGGCGGTGGCGGTGATCTAGGTACTGGCATGGGATTCGAATTGCCAGTATTCACCCCTAGAAAACGTCACTTGACGATTGCATGAGTTACTAACTAATGCACCTGAATTTCCTATCATTTTGATGAGTCATACCAAGAAATCTCGTGACATTCTTACCTATTGGAATTATAATAGGTTGTAGTTCGATTGGCCCGGGAGGTGGTGGAGGTGGTGGTCCCATTGGCGGAGGTGGTGGTCCCATTGGTGGAGGTGGTGGACCCATTGGCGGAG